TTCCTCCCCCCATCTGTTGATCCCAGGCCGAGCTGCCCTCTCCCTGTGCCCAGTGTCCCAGGGGCTCGTGGCAGGCTTGGGGCTCTGTTCCTGTCCCCCGTCCCTGGTGTGAACATGTATCTGCCCCTGTGTTACCCCACCCCATCTCGGCAGCACTCTCCATGCCAACCCTGAAAGAGCACTGCCTCATTTCATGGCTCTGCGGGACCCTCGCCACCCATGGCCACCCCAGCCCTGGTGGGGTGTGGAGGGTGCCACCAAGGGAGGATCGTGTTCCAGGCTGTGTCCCTTGTGGCTTTGCCCTGGGGCTGCCCTTCTGCTGCCAAGAGAGCCACAGCTGGGCCCTCAGCCAGAGGCCAGCCCCCTCCCACCACTCCCTCGGCTGCCCCTGAGGCAGCACTGGGCACCAGCCAGGACCTGGCACGGGTGTGAGCCTGCAAGTCCGCTGCCGTCTTGCAGGGTCACTGCTGCCCACCCCCACTGTCCCAGCTGCCCCTGCTGTCTTGTTTGGCCTGGAGCCCAGGTCCAGGGGGCGGGTCATCTGATAAGATCTGAAATGCCCCTGGTGCTTCAGGGGAGATGGCCCTGGGGACACGGGGTGGGGGAAGGGACAAGGCCCTGTGTCTGGGAGCCCAAGTCCCAGGCTCTGGCCACTGGATGAGGGGAAGGAAACCTGGGGTCCTTGGGCCAGCAGTGGGGGTGGAAAGGGCAGGCAGCTGGGGGCCCCCCAGCAGACCTGGTTCCCCGCCCCGTCCATGTTTTCCTGTCCAGTGGCTCCTTTCCTGAGAGGGCCTTGGACACCAGGTGAGCTCAACCCCGCCCCAGCCCGGCCCAGCACTGCTCGCCACCCACCCTCCCTCCTCAGCGAAGCCCAAGCCAGGTGGGGAGGGCAGGGCCACCGGGGCTGGGGCGGGCGTGCCAGGGCACTCAGAGCCAACCCCCACCTGCTGTCCTCTGCACCTAGGCTCCCAGGAGGGCAACGAAAGGGGTGGTGGGGAAGGGGCTCCAGGTGTGACCGCAGAGAGAGGGCAAGAGGGCCCCAAGCTCCAAGGCCCCCAGCCCCCAGAGAGCAGTCATCAAAGGCTGTTGGAGGGTAGGGAAGTCAGCTTGCTGAGGGCTTACAGGGTCTGTCAGCTTAACAGCTGCGACGGGGGTGGACGCTGACCGCTTAACCACCACGGCTGGCTCTCTGTTCTTTCCGGTCTCCCCCTCCTGTCAGTGGGTTAGTCACCCCGTGTGGTGGTCTTTCCCTGCACATCCCTTTGAGCGTGTGACCAAACCCACTACCCACTCGCAGCTGATAGCTGTGGTTTATGGAGCGAGAAGCCTGAGGAAAGAGACACCAAGCCACCAAGATAAAGAGGACACAGGGACGTCCCTGCCCGAGAGACCCAAGTGTTCCCATTCCCACACGGCCCCCTCCTGTGGAGTTAATCTTCCCGACAAGCACAGAGAGCTTACAGAACAGTTCCGACTAAGGCAGGTCTGACGTCACTGACCAGAGGGACAGAAAATTCAGGAGGAGGAGACCTTTTACCTGGTAACAGGAGGACGTGGTCAACATTGCTCAGGCCCCCACCCTTCAGCCCAGTTCTGTTTAAAGTACTTTTCTCTGCGGGGAGGCAGATTGCAGGGAAAGAGCCCTCTGTCCCTTGGGTATTGATGCTCAGTCAGTTGTTGCTTTCCCGGATGCAACCTGTTGTGATCATTGGCTTTGGGACAGGAAGGAGCTTGTTCCTATGAGACCACCTGCCTGTGGCGTGTGGGATGTGGCCCCAGGCTGCCTCCCCAGAGCTGGGGGCCCCAGTGCAGCCCTGTGGCCCTAAACAGAAAGCCACCAGTGTGCCTGGGATGCAGGGGGCCTTGTGCCAGCGGACAAGGGGGTGTGTCACCTCCTCACACCCTCCAGGGCGCAAGGGCGTGGGGAGCACGGAGCACCCAGGCCAAGGCCCACCAAGGCGGCATCGTCTTCGCAGGGGAGGACTGACCACTCCTTGGCCTCGGCGTCACACGGCAGACACTGCAGGTCCAGGGGTCACTGGTGCTGATTCTTGATCCCCGGGCAGGCGCCTGGGAGGGCCATGGGCATGGGCTTCACAGGGGGAAGCATGGGCTGCAGCGGAAACCCGGAGTTTAGATCAATGGCCTGGCTTGGTTAGGACACTTGTCATGTGAAAATCCTTGTAATAGGTAATGTTGAGTATCTTAGACAGTGTTTTACAAGAATAACATTTAATTTGCGAGTTCGTGCAGGCGCGGCCTGGGGGCAGCCCTCCACACTGTCCACACTCGCCTGCTCTGACCTAGCGGACACCAGGGACTGTCCTTGCCTGAATTCACCTGGACCCCGCTGTGGTCCCCAACTCCAGCTGTGACCCCCACCCCCGCCCCACATGGTGCTCCCCTCCCCTGCATGGTCGTTTCCATGTGTGCTTGAGGGGGGGCAAGAGGACCTCTCAAGGGGGATGGGGAGGGGCTTGGGGCCGCTCAGGCCTTCTGAGGGGGAGGGGAGGAAGAGCAGGAGCAGGGGGGAGGCGCTGCCACTGGCGACAGTGTGGGTGGGTGTGGTGGGTAGAGGAGGGGGAGTGCGGGCCGCAGGGCAGAAGTGTGCTCTCCTGGCCCTGGGGGGGGGGCTAGGGGCTCAGGAGAGAGCCCGTACTGTCTGAGGACAGTGAGACAGAGTCGGCTGGGGGTGCTGCCTGCAGGGGGGCAGGGAGCTGGGGGCTGGGGTGGGGGCCGTGGCGGTTTCTTGTGAAGCCAAATGGTGTGGTCTGAGGCTTTCCTGAGGCTTTGGTCATGAATGATGGCAGTGGGGAGCTTGGTGGTGGGGACATTGGAGGGGGCCCACGGGGGCTGTCACTGGTGTGGACACAGACGGGTGAGTTGGTGGGAGGGCTGGGTCTTCCATGGGGGGCGATGGAGATGGGGCAGGCTGGAAGGCCCGTGCGGGGGGGCCTGTGGGTTCTGGGGATTTCGAAGGAGAAGGGACAGGAGGGACCCCTCGTGCCCCCCACCCTCGTGCCTGCGTCTGCCCCCATTGCCCCTCAGTGCGCCTCTCGGTTTGTGCCATCTCCTGGTTAAGTCCTGTCTGGACAGGGGCCCCGCTCAGCCTCCTCGCCAACCGGGGGGGCCATCATCTCCTCCCCTGTTTGCCGTGGGCCACAGGGTTCCCTTGAGGTGGCCCTACCTCAGGGCTTTGCAGGCTGTTTCTGGCCAGCCACCCCCACCCCACCCCATCGTGTTCTGCTCGTCCTGCTGGGGTCACCATCTGGAAGACGCATACGTCATGAGTTGAACTGTGCCCCCAAATGTAAAGTCCCGACTCCCAGGATCGGTGAACGAGGTGACCTTGTTTGAAGATTGTCCTACTGCGTAGGCAGGGCCCTCAGCCTGGGGACCAGCGTCCTTATAGGAGACGGGGGTGGGGGGCAGTGGGAGTGAAGATGGGCAGACTGGAGGGGCTTGAGGTCCAAGGCACTCCCCCCGGAGACTGCCAGCACCCCGTGGATGAGAGTCCTGGTGCAGGACCTAGGCAGCCTCCACCACACTCCTGAGGCCAATTTGAGGGGCTTCCCTGGGGGCGGGGGTCTGGAATTTGGGGGCACAGGAAAGGCCTGGCTAGAGGCCCAGCCACTCTCCTTTGGGGTCTGTGGCTCTTGGAGGAAGTTTTTGGGACGAGCAGTTGAGTTACCTGACCTCTCTCTCCCTTGGATGAACCTGAGCAACGCCGGGGAGAAGGGGGAGGTGACCAGGGGCAGGGGCCCCAGAGATAGGGGCCCGGAGGTGGGGTGGGGGGGTCCAGACAGGCACACTGGCCGGTCCACCATGAGCCACGTTGTGTCCGGGCCTCCTCTTCACTCACTTTGTGGGGCGGCCAGTGGGCTCACCAGGGTCTCCTGGAACCCCAAGCCTGCCCGCACTGTCCCCCTGCAGGACTGCTGCAGGGCTGGGTCCCCTCCCTGCTGGGAGCTCTCCCCAGCATTGGGGTCTGTGCTGTGTTCAAATGCTGTCCCTTGGCCTGCTCAGGGCCAGACTCCATACCTGCAGGTGGCTTTGGGCAGCCTGCTGGGACAGGAGGCTGGGCTGGGGCTGGGCGGCACCTCAGAGGGGGTCTGGAGGTGGGTCTGAGAGTGAGGCCTGGGGACCTCCCTAGGAGCTGCTGGTCTCAGCCCCCTTGGGTTGGGACTCAGGAGACCCCCCAGGCAGGAGAGTGGGAGGGGAGACAGTCCCCTTACCTGTTGGCCCTGCCCCTGCTGGGTCCTGCCAATCCCAGGGAGCAGGGCAGAGCGGGCCCACCCCCATGATGGCAGTGGCCCGAGGGTCCTTAAGAGACGTGTCTGAGGCGACGCTGTGAACTCTCTCCCTTGGTGCCCTGGGGACCTGCAGCAGTCCAGCATGGAGCCGTGGCACATCCTGTGGGTGGTCCTAGTACTGCTGACGGCTGGGCAGGGCCAGACCACGCAGGGGCCGACCACAGGCTCCCTGGTGAATGCCCCAGGCACGCGCAAGCCCCTGGATTTCCAGGTAGACCAGGTATGAGCCCACAGGGAGGAGCATTCAGGGGAAGGGCCGGGAGGAAGACAGGGAGCCCAGCCCTGCTGCCACCAGGGCCCCTGACTGAGCCCCGACCTCCCTGGGAAGTCAGGGGAAGGACCCTGCTCAGACCTCCCAGGTCACATGCTTCTTCTGCCACCCTGCCAATCCTGGCGAGGTGGGAACGTCTCCTCTGCACAGGTAGGGAAATTGAGGCTTAGGGGGGCAGACACCAGGGGCACTGCTTCCCTGGGGCACCCCCTCACACTCGCAGCTGGCTGTCTCCCGTCTGGCCAACTTCTCAGGCTGCCTCAGCCCTGCCCTGACACCTGCCCTGACACCTGCAAGAGGGGCTCTGGGCTGCCAGCAGGTCAGGGCACGACAGGGCTCCCAGCCACCCCGGCTCTGCCCACCACCAGCCCCTGCAGTTCCAGGGGGAGTGGTACGTGGTTGGCCTGGCAGGGAACGTCTTCAGGAAGGAGGACAGGGCGCTGCTGAGCCCTTACACGGCAACTTTCGAACTGAAGGTGAACAACTGTATTCAGGCTTCATATGCCATGACCCGGTGAGTGGCCACCATGACCTGAGCAGTGGGGGGCCTGGCCGGTGCCTGAGAAGCCCTCCTGGTACTGAGGCTGGTACAGGCAACTCAGTGCCTCTGGCTGCCAGTGACAAAACCCAGTTCACTTACACAAAAAAGGCGAGGCACTTAGTGGACCACAGAGTAGGAGGCCTAGGGTTTCAGGTACAGTTGCACCCAGGAGCTCAGAGGCTGTGAGCAGGACTCTGCCCACCACTCTTCGGCCCCAGCCTGACCTCCACCCCAGGTGAGCCCTCTCTTGGTGTAAGATGGTGGCAGATCGCTCCAAGCTCCGGACCCTGACCCCAGAGAGGAGGAATGGCCCCTGGTTGCCTCTTCTTCAGTCTGTGCTCCGTCTGGACCAATGGCTGCGTCTGGGGTGGTGCTGCAATGCTGCGATTGGACAGCCTGGATGAAGGGCCGGCCCCTGGCTGGGGAAAAGCAGACGCTGGGTGGACAGGCTTTGCTGCCCCTGTTGCCTCTCTGTCGGGCGGGCCTGGGGCCTTTGGCCATCTCCCTGCTTGTGTGGGGAGGACAGTGGCAAGACCTCTGCTCAGGGCTCTGGTTCAACTACACTGACGGCTCCCTGTGCAGACCTCTTGAGGCTCCAGGAGCCAAGGGTGGGTGTCAACACTCAGCCCCTGTCCTGCCCCCCAGGGCCAGCCCTTGAGGCCACCTGTACAATCTCCTGACATGCCCTGAGGATTAGTAGGGGTGGGAGGGAGAGGCTGAGAGCCCGGGACAAATGCCACTTGGACCCCAGAGCAACTCCTCCCACAACTGCAGGCTGCCTCAGAAAAGGAATGCAGAGGAAGGTGGCGTGTGCAGCGAGGCGCGCACGTGCACACACACACAGGCCTGCAAGATACACACACACACACCCTGTCTGCGAGATGCACGCACACACACACACTGGCCTGCAAGATACACACACACACACCCCTGGTCTGCGAGATGCACACACACACACTGGCCTGCAAGATACACACACACACACACACCCTGGTCTGCGAGATGCACACACACACCCTGGTCTGCGAGATACACACGCACACACATACACACACTGGCCTGCAAGATATACACACACACCCCGGTCTGCAAGATGCACACACACAAACACACACAACACACACACCGGCCTGTGAGACACACACACACGCACACTGGCCTGTGAGACACACCACACACCACACAACACACACACACTGGCCTGTGAGACACACACCACACACCATACAACACACACACACCGGCCTGTGAGACACACAACACACACACACACACCAGCCTGTGAGACACACACCACACACCACACAACACACACACACCGGCCTGTGAGACACACACACAACACACACACAGGCCTGCTCTCCTGCCTCTGTTCCTGCCTCCATCAGCCACGTCTGGCACCTGCTGCTGGGCTGCTGGCTGGGGTGCCCCCGGGACAGCACCACCTCCCGGACAGCACCACCTCCCGGACACAGCCTTCCTGCTGCCCGGGAGGCGCCTGTGTTTGTGCACAGTTGTACATCCCTGCAGGTTTTGGGTGCTAAGCTGGGGCTGGGGCTGGGGCTGGGGCTGCGCAGCCCTCACTCATCAGGGGGCACCTGCCGAGAGGTGCCACTGGGAAGGGCACGGGGCTCCTGTGCTGCCCCCTGGCAGGCACCGCCCTGCCCAGCTCCCTCCAACCGTGCACAACATGGTCCTGGCTGGTATCACGGGAGCCGCCTGCCGACGTCCACCCCGGTCCCTCCAGGGGACAGCGCTGCATCACCTGGGCTTACACTCTGAATCCGGTCGGCAAGCCTGGGCACTTCGAGGTGGACAAGAACGGAGGTGAGAGCTGAGCAGGAGGCGGATGGGGTGGGGTGGGGTGGGGTGCAGGCTGGCAGGGCTGACAGTGCCCTGGACCCCCAGACCTGCAGGCAGACCCTGAGGAGGTCCAGGTGACCGACACTGACTACACCACCTTTGGTCTGACGGTCTCACGACGAAACTCCACAGGCCTTGTGATCCTCAGGCTCAACCTTTTGGGTGAGCTTTGGGGCTGTGGGGGCTCCGGGGCAGGAGGTGGTAGGGAGTGGGGGCCAGCCTCTGGGGGCCAGGGCCTGTGCTGGGCCCCCAGGGGACACCAAGCACTCACACTTGCTGGCCACAGGCAGGAGCTGGGTGCTTCGTCCTGACGGAGTGGACAGGTTCATGTGCCTTGTCCGGGCTCAGGGCCTCCGTGACGATCAGGTCGTCTTCCCAACTGTGAGCGGTAACGGAGCCCCGGGGGCCACGGCAGTGGCGGTCGGGAACCCAGGGCTTGGGGTTGCAGGGTAGTGCCTCCTCTGGGCCTCAAGGGGTGGCAGGGTTCATGTGCAGGGTCCATGCAGGGTCCATACAGCTCCAGAACCCAAGCTGTTCCCAGCCACCACCCCAACCCTCAGAGTGCCCTGTCCTCAGACCCCGACCCCAGCCACCTCCTCCTGTCCCTGCATTCCTCTGTCTCCAGCCACCTCCTCCCTACAGCTCAGCCCTGCTCTCAGGAGAGGCCCTGAGCCCAGCACAGCCTGGCTCCTGTGGGAGCCCCAGCTAGCCATACAGAGTGCCCCTGGCCCCAAGGGGCTTCAGAGCTCAGCTCAGCCTGGGCCTGGCTTTCAGTCCTGAGTGTGAGAACCCACCAAGCTTCTTCCAGGGGCATTGCCAGCATCCCCTCGTTGTCCTGCCTCTGTCCCCTTTACACCCATGTGCACATCTGCATGCCTATGTGTGCACACTCATGCACATGCACACCTGTGCACCCATGTGCACACAGTCATGCATGTGCACACCCACAGTGCACACCTGCACAGTCATGTGCACACCCATGTGCAGTCATGCATGTGCACACATGTAGTGCACGCCTGCATGGTCATGCGCACACCTGCACACACATGTGCACACTCACACAAGTGCACACCCACTTATCCACTCATGTGCACACATGCATGCCCATGTGCACACTCATGCAAGTGCACACCTACACAACCATGTGTGCATATGCACAACACACCCACACATTCATGTCCACAAGTGCTAATATGTGTCCATATGCACACATATACATGGCATAGGCACACACTAGACACACATGCACACCTGCACACACTCCTGCACCTGCACTCACACACATGCACACGTGCACACACACAACATGGACTTCCTGTGACTCTGTTCCTCAGAAGATTGGTCCGGGGGCTGCCTGGGGCTGCAGTCTGGGGTCCTACAGGGACCAGGGCCCTGGGCTGGTGACAGGCAGTGCCCTGGGGGGACATGCCCCTTAGCCCCTCATGGGTCTCCCCATCCCCTGGCCTTCCCTCTCCTCCCTCTCTTGGTCTCGCTCCCCCCAGTCTCTCCCACATCCTCGCTTGGTCTCTGTCCCCCATCAGCTTGGAAGATTACTCCGGGTATCTGTTGAAGGCCAAAGTGGCTGCCTCCCCACCATCACCTCTGCCTCCTTCCACCACCCCCAACAAAAAATAAATGCACTTGACTAGACCCAGAGTCGTGAGCAGTCTTGGCCTTGGGGGGTGGGGAGGGAGAACCACTGGCCACGTGGGCAGACAGCACCTCCCCTGAGTGCCCAGTGGTCCCATCTACTGCACTGGGGAGGAAGCTTCCCCCAGAGGGTACCCCCCAGGCTGGCTGTGGGCCCACAACACCCTTGTCCAGGGGGCTGGGGGTGAGGGCGGCCAGGTGGAGCCCAGCGTGTTTCCAGGACAGCGACACTATTGCAGGGACCCTGTCATGGCGGACACACGCGTGATGTGCTTGGCACAGCCTGCCTGGCTGTACACGGGGAGCACAGCCCTGCTGTGGAGGGCAGGCTGCAGTTCGTCACGATGTATCCGTGTGGGTTCATTGGAAAGCAGGCTGTTGACAATGGACACGTGTGCTTCAGGAGGTATGTGGGACATTTTGTACTTTCTGGGTAAATCTTCTGTAACTGAGAACTGCTGTGAAGAATAAAGTCTATTTTTTCAAAAGGCCAGCCAGCTGCAAAGCTCCAGGGCTTGGTCTTGTGCCAGCAGTGCACTCAGTGCATTGTGGGGGCAGGCGGTTCTTGGTTCTGGAAAAGCCCTCACAGGACCTTGGGATGAGTACGATAAGCACTCCTCCCCAAGGGGCCTGCGATGTGGCCTCAGGGTGACCGAGGGTGGGCCCCGCTAGCTTCTCCCCCTTTCTCCCCTGACGGAACCCCACCAGCCCAGGGCCAGTCTTGGGGCCTCATCCCCTCTCCACCCACTCCAGGGATCCCAGGCTCTGCAAGCCAGTTCCACACACAGCCCCCGGGTGGGTGGGTGTGTCTGCAGGCTCCAACTGAACGCCTGGACCCCCGTCTTTGTGTCCCGGGGCTGCCACACAGAATGCCACCAGCTGGGTGGCACTGAGAACAGGCATTCATCTGTCTTGTCTGGAGGCTGGGAGTCCAAAATCCCGCACGGGTGGGGCTCCTGGGAGCTCCAGGGCGGGACCTCTGGGCCTCTTCCGCTGCGGCCGACTGGGGTGTCCGGACTTGTGGGTGCGCCTTCACGTGGCCGTCCTTCCTCACCTGTGACTCTTCTTTTACACGGCCACCACTGAGACTGGATTAGACTCACCACTCCATTCCAGTGTGACCTCACGCAAACCAGTGACATCTTCAAAGACCTTCCTCCCCAAAGTGGTCACGTTCACAGGGACCAGAAGTGAGAATTTACATCTTTTGAGGGACACAACCCCACTCACTTGGGTTGCTTGGACCCCTGGTGCCTGGTCAGGAGGGCATGCTAGGCCGGAGTCGGGTACGGTGCACTCAGCTCCTCTCTCGGGCCACAGCCTGAGCCGCCGGTGTCCAGGGCCTGCAAACCACAGCTCGGAGGCTTGGCTTCCTCACACCTGCTGTGCACTCTCCTGCTAATTCAAGGACCACAGCACCAAGCCGCACAGCCCAGGCCACCAGTCCTCAGGATGCCCTCGCTGAGACCAGCGCTGGCCCTGCCACAGTCTGCAGCCAGGCTGACAGGCCCACTGTGTCCCCCCGGGTGGAGGGGTGCGAGCAAGGCTCTATGCCCAGTGGGGCAAGGCCCCTTCCAAGCATGTACCCTGGCACACAGGAAAGGGTGATGGGGAGGCGGGCTGTGGTGGAAACAAAGTGTCCACACTCCTCCACACACACACACACACACACCCTTTGTTCTGTGGACATACTCCCTTGTGTTTCTTCTGGAAGCTCCTGGGGGATCCTTGGCCCGGCCCTCCCCTTGTCAGAGGAATGCAGGCAGGCCTCCTGAGCGCACACGCAGCCCAGGCAGTGTTTTTACCCCATCAGTGTCTGGACCTGAGCCCAAGACCCCAGGTCCCAGACGTCACCTCCCAGCAGGCATGCAGGACCATCTATGACTCAAGGGGGCGGGGACCCTCTGCCTCAAACAGCTCCCAGGGCTGGAGGTGTGAGGTGGTGGGTTGGCAGGTGACCATCCGTGGAGGGTTCAGGCGGCCCCTGGAAGCATGGACGGGGACAGGCAGAGATGTGCCCAGGACACGGGCTGGGAGTGGTAGAGACCATGTCCCCAGAGTCTTGCACAGGGACGGTCCTCGACCTGGTGCTCCCTACAGCTGTAGAGCCCTTCCCTGTGGCCAGCTGGGGCTGCAGGACAGAGCACACCATGGACTGGGCATCTGAAGACAACAGCACCTTTTTCTTTTGTGGTTCTAGGGCCACATGACCCGAACCAGGGTGTCGGCCCTGTTGGTTTCTTCTGAGGCTCTGAGGGAGCCCTTACCGAGCAGAGGGAGTGTGGGTGGCGCCAGCTCATCTGGCCATTCTCGGGACTGGGAGTGGGGTCTTTGTAACCTGGATTTGGTCATGGTTTCTTAGCCACAGCACCAAATGTGTGACCCACAAGAAAAGCTAAGAAAGTACTTCCTCAAAATGAAGACTACTCTGCTTTTCAAAAGACCCTGTTAAGAAGCTTGTATCCAGAATACATAAAACCAAACCAAACCCACTGCCACATGCGCAGTCTGGGCTGCAGAAGGGGGCTGAGCGGCCCTCACTGCCCAGCCCCCGTGGGTGGCTGCCCCTGAGCCCACAGAGCCCCTCCTCACCTGCCTCCCCTCCAGCCCTCACCACTGTGGGGACCCCTCAACACTTCATTCCTGACAGCAGACCCCCGCAGTGGAGGCTGTGTGTTGCCGTGAGGCTGGACAGGTCTCAGGGCACTTCCAGACCAAGACAGACTAGGAAGAAAGAGCTTCCGCCGCCCAGGCTCCACACGGAGGCAGGTGCACAGACGCTCTGTCCCTCCTGTCCTGTGGGCACAACCCCTCCCAGCCCATTGCCGCCTGCCCGCAGACAGGAAAATGGCTGGGTGGGGGCAGGAGGCAGAGGCTATGCCCACCTGGACCAAGGATAGGTGGGGGCAAGTTCCAGGGTCCCACTGGGCTGGACCTCAAGTGGACCCTCAGCTGGGGGCTAGGAGTCCACTCCAATCCCACCCAGACCTGAGTCAGGGAGCCCCCTCTCTGCCCCCAGCATGGGGCACAGATGGCGTCAGCCTCGGAGGGGGGCATGGGGTGGGCAGAGCCAGGGCCATGTGGGTAAGACCAAGCCTGGGACCCCCCCGCCCAAGCTGATGGTCTCAGCAGGCCCATATCCATTTCCTCCCTGATCTGGGACCGAGGAGAGTGAGGTGGGGAGGTGGACAGGTGGGGAGACCCGCCCCTGCCTGGTGCATGGCAGGATCCGGTCCCTCTGCACCCCTCCACCTCCTCCTTCACTGATTTTGTAACCCTTTGTGCTTTTCGAATTTGACAGAAGGGCCATGGGGACACGTGAGTTCATAGACAGGGCTTCTGAGGCCATCCCTCATCCACCCTCCACCCATCCCAGCAGGCCAACCACTTCCCAGGACCCCGGCCTTTTCTGTCCCAGGACATGGCCCCTGGAACCCTTGTGGGTGGGCCTCACCCTGTTGGGTGCTCCAGGCTGACCTAGGCAGTTCCAGGGGCATCAGCCACCCCGGCCTCAATACAGCCTTCTCACAAGACCCTTCCCGAGCTCTGCCAGGGAGGAAGAGGGCGAGTGGGCACCTAGGGGGTGAGGGGTGGCCTGGTCCAGACCAGCCTGGAAAGGGAGGGAGGAGGTACCCAACGGGCCCAGGCTGCCTCTGGCCTTGCCTGAGCCCACGCATATCCTCCCACCACCCCATGAGTTTCTGAGAAGTGAGTCCCACCGTGCAGGTGGAGAAACTGAGGCATGGGGACTCTCTGGGCTGGGGGCCTCTAGCTCCTGCCAGCATCAGAGGGGCAGTCCCAGCCGTGGCCCTGGGGCTGGGCGAGAGGGGCCCAGGCTGCTGGCAGGACAGAGCACAAGGGGGCTCCTGGGCCGTCCCAGCTCTGCCCAGCCCAGCCCCTGCTGTTCCAGCGGTCGGGGGTATGCCCTGGCCTGGCTGAGCCTTCAGGACAGGTCCGATTCTGGACACGACAGTGACCTTGGGCACCAGGCAGCAGGGCTTCCAGGGGACACAGACATTGCCTTCCTGACTCGGCCTCTGCCCCCCTTCCAAAATTCCATCAACAGGCATCTCAGGCACCTGCTCTGGGTGGGCCCTTTGGAGGCTGCTGCAGGCAGCCCAGATGCCCCTGGCCCGACCCCACCTGCCCATCCCACCATGGTAGGAAGTGGGGCTGGGTGGGGCAGGAAAGGACCTGGCCATTGGACCTCAGCCCCAGGTGGAGGAGGGCTCTGGATTGCAGCTGTGGGGAGTCTGCCCAGGTCCTGGGTGTCTGTGGTGACCACTAACGTCCTGGCCAGGGCCAGTCCTGGGGGTTTCTGGGCAGGAGGGGCACAGGGCACAGGGCTTCCCCAGTGGGGAGCTGATTCCAACAGCCCTGGCCAGGGCCCTGGGCTTCCCTGGTCAGAAAAGTGGCTGCTGGAGAAAATGTCAGAGTCCAGGAGATGGGACGCAGTTCTGAGGGCTCTGGAAGAGGGTAGCCCCAGGGTCCCTGAAGGCCTCAGAGCCCCGTCGTACAGGGGTGAAGACAGCAGGAGGGTGGTGATAACAGGAAAGCAGCCGGGGGCTGGTGTTCAGAGGAGGGGCGCCTTGCAGGGCCAGCTGGTTTTCTGGGTGGGAGAGGCCAGGACGGGTCAGCCTTCAGGTGGGAGAGGCTCAAGGCTGCAGAGGCTGGGCCTCTGGAGAAGGGCCGAGTGGGTCTCTCTTCCTAGGAAGGGGAGGCGGAAAGGGGATGTTCCAAGCTTCCAGAGCTGGAAGTTTGTACAGCTGTGCTGGGAGGGGGCTCTTTACGTAAAAAGCGACCAAGAGAACATCCGGTCCAGGCCTCGGGAGGCGTCGTGAGGTGGGGGGTCAGCTGCAGCCTCATCGGTTCCCCTGTGAGTCTGGAACGGATGGGGGAGGGTGGCATCCTTGGGCCAGGCCAGTGGGGTCCCCAGCCTCCAGTGTGCCGGGGATGTCCCCTCGAGGAGCCGTTTACCCCCAGTTAACCCCACATCCGCCTGCCGCGGCCCCGGTGCCCTGTGCTCTCTCTCCTGCCTCGGGGTGAGAAGAGCTCTTTACTCAGGGGATCGGGGGGCCTTGGCTGGGCTGCCCTTCCTGCTCCTTGGCACAGACCCAGCGTCCCACTCTGCTGCTCAGGCCTAAGCTCCACCAGGAACACCACCACTCTGTCTGGCCTTTCTGAGTCCAGGGCATTCTGTGACCATGGCCAGGGTCCTCCATGACCCAGGGAACCACCTCACCCCACTTCAAATTCTTTAGGGCTCGGTCTGACAAGGCCAGGCGACTCCAACCACAGGATGTTCTGGCTAAGACCGAACTGCAGACAAGATCAGGGGTCACGGGGCCAGGTAGGGGGTGGACAGGTGGAGCCCAGAGCGTTTCCGGGACAGGGGCACTATTCCGGGGACACTGTCCTGGGCGACACACATGTGATGCGTTTGGCATAGCCCTGCTATGGAGGACAGGCTGCAGTTCATTACAGTGTATCCATGTGGGTTCCTCACTGGTTACAGACTCAGTGGGAAGAGGATATTAACCATGGACACACATGTGCTGCAGGAGGTACTGGGGCGCTCTGTACTTTCTGAAGAATGCTCCTGTAAGGGAAAACTGCTCTGAAAAATAGTCTATTAGAGAAATAAAATGACCCTTTGGGGCTGCACCCTTAGGGCTCACCCACACTTAACAGTCACTGCAGCCTTGGGAATGCCTTTTAGGAGAGGGGTGGGGTCCTTGATGCGGCAGGAGGACCCTCTTCTCAGGAGCCCCCCGAGCTGGCTTTGGAGCAGCAGCTGGTGGCCAAGGTGGCCCAAGTGAGTCCTGTCACAGGCAGCAAAACCTTAGTCCAGCCTCAGTCACCAGGCAACTAGGCCACCTCCTCCCCATGTCCCTGGGACCCTTTGTCCTGGCCTTCCTGTCCTGGACCACCTCCTCCCCGTTCCGGGCCTCCCCATCCCGGGCCTCCCCATCCCAGGCCTCCCCATCCCGGGCCTCCCTGTCCTGGGCCACCTCCTCCCCGTCCTGGGCCTCCCCGTCCTGGGCCTCCCCGTCCCGGGCCACCTCCTCCCCATGTCCCTGGGACCCTTTGTCCCGGCCTCCCTGTCCTGGGCCACCTCGTTCCCACACACCCAGGTTTCACTGTCCTGGTGTCCCGACCGCCTCCCTCACAGTCCCGGGTCTCCTTATTCTGGGCCACCCCCTCTTTTCCCAGAGCTTGCTCACCACTGACTCATGACGTGCCCTTGTCTTGGGGCCAATGGCCCCAAGGCTTCCAAGCTCCAGGGCTCGGCCAGGACAACAGGCAGGGGCTCTGGGAAGACCCCTTCCCTCTCCTGGGGTGCCGCAGACACAGCCCCTGTGGTGGCTTTGAGGACCAGACACTGATGTATTCTCACAGGCCTGGAGGTTGGGGGTCCGAGTCAGGCTGTGGCTTCAGGAGACGTTCTTGTTGATTTCAGCTTCCAGTCGCCCCAGGTCCTTGCAGTTCCTGGGCTCGTGGATTCATCCGCCTCCCCCGGCATCAGAAGACACCCGTCTCCGGGTTTGTGCCTGGGTCTAGGCTGCCCCGTGTACCACTCAGCCGTGGTTAGGACACACCCTGTGCTGATAGGACACCTTTAACGTAGCACAGAAAACCCTATTCCCAAGTGGGGCTGTATCCAGAGACAGGGGTCAGGACTCCAACTCACGCACATACATGTTTAATTGTAAAAGTACAGGACACCACAATGCCAATTCTGCATTTTTTAGGTGTGTTGAGTGACATCATTGACACGAACCATGTGCCCCACCCCCCATGCTTGTTCCCATGGAGACACCCACTGCTTCCTATGCAGCGGCCCCTCCCCCAAGCCGTCCTGGCGCCACTGGTGAACTTGGAGCTGTGCACTTCATCCCACGTCACTGAGCTGCTACGGCGTCTGCTGGAGTCTGGAGGCCACCTCACTCCCCTCGCGTCTCCACGGCTGAGCAGCGTACGGCTGTAACCCTGTGTGTATCCATCCGCCTGCTGACTGGCAGTGAGGACATTTCCACCTTCCAGCTCCGGTCATTGGCGCTCCGACGCGCACTGGTGTACACGGTTCTGTGCCTGCCTGCCTTCCGGTCCGGGGTATGTACGCAGGAGCGGGTCCGCTGGGTCACGTGCTGGTTCCACAGTTTGCTTTCGGAGGAACTGGCCCACTGCCGTCCACAGCAGGTGCGCCACGGCGCCTTTTACCAGCAACGCTGAAGGGTCTCAACTTTTCCACATCCTCGCCAGCATTTGTTATTTTTGTTTCAATCCTAGCCATCCTAACGGGATGAGCTCTGGTGGTGCAGTGGTTAAGGCGTTTGGCTGTTCACCAAAAGGTCGGTGGCTTGAACTCACCAGCCGCTCTGTGGAAGACAGAAGAGGCAGCGTGCTATAAAGACTGATAGCCGTGGGGACCCAGTGGCGGTCGCTGAGAGGAATCCACTGGATGGCAGTGAGTCTCGTTCCATTTGGTATCCTAATGAGTGGCACCTCACTGTGGCTGTCATTCACATCGCCCAGACTTGAACATCACTTCGTGGGTTTGGGGGCCTGTTTAACACCCTCTTTAGTGAGACATCTGTTCAACATCTTTAGACATTTTGTGACTGTCTGTCTGTCTGTTCCTTGTGAAGCTGTAGGAGTTTCATGTATATTTTGGGTATTAGGCCCTTATGGACTATATAGTTCTTGAGAATTTCCTCCCAGCCTGCAGGCTTTGTACTTTTCCCACATGTGTGTTTTGGAGGGACACAGGTCACTATACCAGCCCTTCAGGGGCCCGGGAGGTGCGGGGGGACAAGGGTGAGAATGGGCACTGAGCAGGGGAGATGCACAGTGGGGTAGTGGCACCCCGGCCCAGGGTCAGCTGCGGTGGCCCCCACTCCAGTGTCCACCCTCCAGCCCCCTAAGCCCATCAGGGTTCTGGCCCTGAGACCACACCTTTCCCCATGACCCCCTCTGACAGCCTCAGGGACCCTGGGAACCTGACTGAGGAGAGGGACTCACACTGTCTAGCCCTGGACAGGACCCTGGACAGGAGCCTACTCCCGCCGCCGGGCTGGGCCTGGGTCTGAGGTCCGGTCCCTACACTGGGTGAGGCCGCAGCCAGTCTGCACTGTATCTTCTCGGGCCTCTTCTCCAGTTCCCTCCAAGGTCAGAGGCCAGGTGTGTGTTGGGGTACAACTAGACTCAGACTGGGCCAGGTCCTTTGGAGCAGCCAGTCAACCCAGGGAGGCTTCTGGAGGGAGGAGGCCTCTCTGGAAGGAGGGCGGGTGTCCTCACGGCCTGTGCTGGGGGTCGGTGAGATAGGGGATCTGTGAGCAGTCCCACCCCCAGTTCCCCAGGTAACAGGGGACACCCAGGCCCATGTGCTGGTGCTGCCTTGGAAATCCAGGTGACTCTGGGTGGGGCCAGCACGGAGCTTCCCTCAGCAGCTAGGGACAGGCCCAGCCGGTGCCCAGAGAGGCACGAGACTGAGAGGGGAGCACAGGGCCAGAGCCGCACAGTGCTGGGAGGCTGTCAGCACACCCCACGCGGGGGACAGGTCTGGTTTCTTTACTTTGGCCGAACCATCCCCCCCCCCACCGCCCCAGGGCCTGCTGCGCTTTCAGGACAGAACTCTTAGAGCTCAATCCGGCTCTGTGGTCCTTGGGGTCCCTGGGTTTGGAAAAGGCATGATGGTGGGCCACTGAGATGGAGGTTAAAGAGGGGGTCCCGGCCCAGGTGGGAAGTGACAGGGGTGGGAAGCCAGTGCAATGCCACCCCCCATCAGGGCCGCAGGGGTGGGGCTGCCTAGGGGTCTAGCTCTGTCCGGCCCGCCCCGCCCCCACTCAGACCCTGGGAGGCCTGCTGGCCTGTTGCATAAGCAGCCAGTGGGGGACGAGGCTGCAGCTGGGCTGGCGGCCTGGCCCTCCCCTTCACATCACGAGCCACCACTGGGCTGTCCTTGGGCCCTGGGAGGAGGCCAAGCCAGGTCCATAAATAGGGGTCTCCAAGTGCCCTCCGTCCAGTCCTGCCCGCTCTCTGCCCACACCGCTGCTCCTGGCCCTAGCACCACTCAGGCTCCAGGACAATGGCTGTTCGATACCCACTGTGGATGGGGCTGCTCCTGCTGGGTGCCTGGGGGCCCCTGCCCACCCCAGCCCAGGCCCAGCTCTCTGTGCAGCCCAACTTCCAACAGGACAAGGTGAGGGGCTCCGCCCGGTCCCTGCAAGGGAGGGTCCCACCCTGGTGCCGACTGTCTCCATGGAAAGGGATGCTGAGTGGGGCTGGGGTGGGGGGCAGGGCCAGGCACCTGCCCCAGGGTGACCCTGAGAGGCCCTCCCAGGGCCACCACCTTCACCAAGCAACTGAGAGAGCAGAGCTCCGTGTCCCCTGATGGGCCGGGAACCACCTGTGTGGCAGACACGCGGGCCAAACGTGTGCACCAGCATTGACCCCTCTGGGCACACGACGCCCAGAGAAGACCCGAGGGCGCTCCCACAGCCGAGGGCCCAGAGTCAGGCATGTGGGGAGGGCAAGACTCCCAGACATACACGCAGGCTCCCAGACACACTTAGACGCGTGCGGCTACACACTCCGCGGACACAGCCAGAGACGCTCACTCACGCCTGCAGAGGCCTCCTGATCCAAGCGTGGCCCAGAACACCGTCCCCTAGGGGGTTGGGGGCGGAGGGAGGGGAGGGGAAGCGCGCAGGGGGCGTGGCCCATGCCTGGGAAGGCGTGGCCACCATCGGGGCGTGGCCTACCTTGGGGGCAGGGTGTGGGCGGGGCGGGGCTGGTCCTGGAGGAGTTGGGAGGGGTGCCCAGCCCTCGGGCCCAGGAGGGTCTCAGGCGGCTTGGTGAGCACCATTCGCCACAGTTCTTGGGACGCTGGTTCAGCGCGGGCCTCGCCTCCAACTCGACCTGGTTCCGAGAGAAGAAGGCGTCGCTGTCCATGTGCAAATCGGTGTTGGCCCTCACGGCAGACGGGGACCTTAACCTCACCACCACCTTCGTCAGGTGGGGCGCTGCGGGCGGGCTGCTGGCACAGAGGGGTGTCCTGCTTGTTGTCACGGTCTGGGGACACTCCCAGGCCAGACCCCTGACCCCGAGGGTGACCTACCCACAGGAACAACCAGTGTGAGAGCAGGACCATGGTGCTGCGGCCGGCCGGGCCTCCGGGCCACTACAGCTATGGGAACCCTCGTGAGTGGGCCCTCAGTGGCCACCCCTACCGAGGGGCCGATCTGAGCGCTCAGTTGCTGGCGGGCGACTTTGGGAGAGCCTCGCTCCCGAGTGGGACCAGGTGGGAGGTGCCGGAGGCTCCCCAGAAGTCATGGAGGATGTGGCTGGGTGGGGTCTGCCCTCGCTCGCCCGGGGGGCAGGACCCCAGCGCCCTTTTCTCCACCCGGCGTGGACCCTCTTTGCAGCCCAGCTCCTGCCAGTCCTGTGGTGCAGAGCCTCTCTGGCCCCCGCCAGGCCCACGAAAGCTGCCCCCAAAACCCTCACACACACACACACACACACACACACACACACAGCGCTCCCACCCCAGCCCCTCCCAGATGCGATGCCTTTCCCCTTCCTGGTTCTGGCAGAAAGTTTCGGGGCCCCCAGAGTCTCCTCTGTTCTGAGCTTGTTTTCTGTGTCCCGAGGACTCTGTCCCAGGGACACTAGATGCCAGAGAGTTGGTGCCAGCCAGAAGTGCTGGGCTGGGCTTTTGGCTGAAAGGGATGGGGGCCTGGGGCAGGCACCGTGGCTTCCCTCCCACCCCAGCCCACCTCTTCCCCTAAGTGGAGGCGGCACAGGGCAGGCTGGGGGCTTTGCGGGGAGGGTCCCCCAGCCAGGGCGGCCTCTGTTGCAGACTGGGGCAGTGTGCATGACATCTCGGTGGTGGAGACGGACTACAGTCAGTATGCCCTGCTGTGCACGGAGGGCTCCAAGAGGCCTGGGCACGACTTCCGAATGGTCACCCTCTACAGTACGTGCCCTCGACCCCCAGCGGGCCTGCCCAGGGGTGGCAGGGGGGCGGGAGCAGTGCAGTCCCAGCCCTGAGGCCAATTCCTGCACCTCCCCTGGCCCAGGCCGAACCCAGAACCCCAGCGCCCAGTTTAAGGAGAAGTTTGCCGCCTTCGCCAAGGCCAAGGGCTTCACAGAGGAGGCCATTGTCTTCCTGCCTCAAACCGGTGAGGGCCCCTAATCCCAGGGGGGATTAAGGTCAGATCAGGCCGCCCTTCTCCGGACTGAGGAGTGGTGGGGGAGGGGCTGGGCGGACATCACCAGCCTCCGGAAAGCTGACCTGCCTGGAGGGGATCAGTATGTACCCCCCACCTCCATCTGCAGCCCGAGGGCACAGGAAGATACACCCCCCCCCCAAGAAACTCCCCTTGACAGCCTTCCAATCCCCCAGTGTGAGGAGACCCCAAACTGTGTTGATCCCCAAGCCATCTCTGGGACACAGGGCCTGTGCTGGGGAGAGGGGGGGATGCCAGCACTAAACTCAGTCCTGGGGGCCCTGAGGGGGTGCACAGCCCCCCTGCACTGGGGCTTAGCCACAGCTGCTCTGGGTCAGTGGGCCTACTCTTGGTGAGACGGAGAAAGGCCACCCACTTGGTTCTGAGGAGCAGGGGCTGGAGGAAGGGCCCCCGCCTTGGGGTGTGATGGAGGTTGCTCAGACTGGGGCCTCAGCCGGACACTTGCAGGGCAGGGCCGAGGGTGGGGTTTCTCAGGTCAAGGAAGAGTCGGGGTGCAGGTGGGGATCATGACCCAGGTTTAGGGCCTGATCTCAGTCGCATGGCTCTTTCTCTCCAGATAGGTGCATGGAGGAACCAGAATAGGTGAGTGCCAGGCTGTGGGCCAGCCTCTCCCAGAAACTGTTCACCTGTTCACTCTCCTGTCCATTCACTCAACACACCTCCACTAACACTGGCTCTGTGCTGGGCCAGCATCTCACACTCACACACACATATACACGACCCCTGGGTCTTGAACACACTCGTGACCCCTGGGTCTTGAACACATACGCACACATGCACACACGTGACCACTGGGTTGTGAACCTCCCATCAAGAAGGTTGTCATCAGGGGTCCCCAAAGCTCCCCTGGGAACTCCTGCTGTAGGCCAAGCACCAAGCAGGGAGTCAGAGACTCCATCTCCTCCTGAGCGCCTAGCAGGGGAGGGTGCCGTCTGGGAGGTCCCAGGGGAGGGCTTCCGCTGCTCTGGTGCCAGAGGGTTCAGGAGCTGGAGGCAGGGTGGGTGGTCTACTGACCAGGACAAGGTGGGGACAGGCAGATGGAGGGGAGGAGGGTCCGTCTCCCCTGTGGAGCCGGAAGTGGAACTGGGGCCCGCCCTCCTGTGGGGTAGGTTGCCCCCACTTGTTGTGCTCTCCCCACCAGCCCACCTGTGCCCTCCAGCCCTCCCTGTCCTGCCTGCTGCACTCCCCTCGGGACCTCCTGGGACCCAGGCCCCCCCAGCTGCCGCCTCCTGGACTCTTCGCTCTGAGAAATAAATCCGGAAGCAAGCAGTGTGCCTGGTGTCTGTCTGTCTGTCCTTCCAGCCTCTGATCCACCAGCTCCCTGGACCTCCGTCCCCTCCTCTGAGATCTCAGCCTGAGGGACGCTGGCTCTGTGCCAGGTGTCACCATGGGGAGGGGGCCAAGACCGCTAGTATTTTCTCCTGGGGGGGAGCAGGGTCTGCTGGGGTCAGCAGTCAGGTCAACTAGGGAAGACGTGCCCCTCACCGTCCCCACCTGCCCCTCCCTCCACAGCCGTGTGCCCGTCACTCTCTCGCTTTAGCCATACTCCCTCAAGCTACCAGCTGCAGACAGGCCATCTGTCACGGGGCAGTCCCTGGCCCAAGTGGGGGTCAGTTCCACCCGGGGCGCTGCACACCAAGCCCCAGCCCTCAGGCAGGTGCCCCACCTGTCCTCTCACCCCCCTGGCCAGGAGGGGCTGAGAGCCCAGGAGACCGTTTAGTCCATGGGTTTTCTAAGGTGTGGAGTTAGCTCACTGAGGTTATGTGGAGAACAGGGTGTAGGGGGTGAAAGAGGAGCTGGTGGGAGAGACTGTGGCCCCCAGTGGAACAGACTGACAGTGTGGGCTGGGATTGGCCACCTGGGCATCCCCAGCCCCCACTAGACCTAAAGAACACGCACCTTTGCACTCTTCTCAGAGCCCAGGCACCAACCTGGCCACGGTGACCCTTCCTGCCCTGCCCTTCTCCCATCCTTCCTCTGCCCCCAGCTTCCTGAATACAGAGCTGGTCTTGGGCCTCTGTCTGGGCGCCCCTGGTTCCCAATGTGCAGGACTCCCTCAAGTCTGCCCCTTGAACCCTCACCTGGGCAGACTTTGGCTGGGTTCTGCAGGACCACCAGATTGAGGCCAGAGGTGAGAGTGAGCTGGGCAAGCTTCCTGGAGGAAGGGGCCTGGGGGCTGCACCAGCACTGGTGCCCCTGCTCCTTAGACATGGCAGAGGGGCTGGGGGCCGACCTCCTGGAGGACTGGGCTGCCAGGACAGGGGTTCTGGGCATCAGGCTGTCAGGTGGGGGCGGAGGCTGCAGGTCACGAAGCCTGCTCCCCTGGAGGAAATCCGGGGAGTGGGCGGGCTTCGGTGGAGGGCAGCAGTGCCAGAGTGCTGCAGGGCGCAACCCGATCGGTGGCCTATCTGAGTGGGCTCTGTCCCAGGACAGCGGGCCAGCGCCCCAGGGCACCTTTGGGCCATAAAGGCCACATGCAGGGCAGGCCACCCAGAGCTCCTGCCTGTCGCTGATGCCATTGGCACGCCGTTGTCCTCCACCATGCTTCAGGCTGTGCTGTCTGCAATGCTCCTTGGCCTGCTCTGGGTGACCCCAGGCAGTGCCCAGGTCCCCATCCAGGCCAACTTTGATGCCAGCCAGGTGCGCCCCGGCCGTCCGCTTCTTCCTTGCCACCTCTCATGGCTGTGTTTCCCATCTTGACCCCGTGGGGCTAGCTCAGGACTGGGGTGCAAGGAGAACCCCACTCTCCTGCCCCTGGAGCTGGGGGCAGGTAGAGTGGTGAGGCCTTAGCCTAGCCACCAGGCTGTGCGCACCCTCACGCTCTGAGGGTCTCTATTCAGGACAAGTTGCAGCTGCTCCCCTGCTCTGGGTCAGGATGAAAGGTGCAGAGGCTGTGGGAAGCAGCCAGGTTGAGTGGAATGCCACCTCCCAGCCCTTGCTTGTCCCCACGCTGCAGTTCCAGGGCATCTGGTATGTGGTTGGAGCAGTCTCAGATGACCAGGGCTTCCTGGAGTCCAAGGACAATATGAAGATGCCCATGGTCTCAGTGACCCCTGCAGCCAACGGTGACCTGGCTGTCAAGTTTGGGTACCCCACGTAAGTGCCCTGATGAGCCCTGCCCCGGGCCTCAGCCAATGGTCAGTGTGAGGCCAGACCCACAAGTTCGGGATGGGCCTGGTGGTGTCTACTTCCTCCCTGGTGGCAAAGGCCCCCAAGTGACCAGGTACCTGGTGGGTGCCGCTGGTCTTGGTGTTGAGGAACCTGCATCTGCGTGTGTGTGTCTGACCTGCCTGTGTATGTGTATATGTGCCTGTGTTTGCATGTGCATCTGTGTGTATCTCTGTATGGATCTGAGTTTGTTTGTGTCTACCTGTCCTGATGTGTGTATCTATGTATCTGTGTGTGTGTGTGTGTGTCTACCTGTCTGTCTACTGACCTGTCTCCGTGTCTGTCTCGGTCTCTGGATGAGTATCTGGAAGGGAGACCAGGACGTCCTGCACCCCCACCCCCTCGTGCCCCGCCCCAGTCCCAGCTAGAGTCTCCTCACCTGTTAGGTGACCACAAGAACCTGTGTCCCCTAACTGTCGTGCACAGGGTTCCCTGGGGTGAGGCAGCTTGGGACGAGTGTGGGCCTTGTGCATGGCGCTAGGACAGCGTCCTGTGCATGGTCCTGGGACCGGCCGGGGCAGGGGCTGGTGTGGGGCAGGTCCCGCTGGTCAGGGGTCTGGCGGGTCCCTCCTCCACAGGCCGGATGGCGGGTGCCAGAAGGTGGACATGACCTTCGCCAAGGGCTCCACGGACGGCGAGTTCAGCAACGCAGGTGAGGGGGTCGGCATGGCGGAGAGGGCTGCAGGGAGATGGGGTGCGGGACTCTGGGCGAGGGCAGCGGGCTCAGCCGGCTCTCGTCCCCAGCCATGGCGCAGACCGACATCCGGGTGGTGTCCACCGACTACACCCACTACGCCGTGATGTTCTTCGAGACGCAGAAGGAGGGCGTGCGGAGCGTGTGGCTGCAACTGTACAGTAAGCCCCGCCCCGCGGAGCCCCGCCCCCTAGGGCCCAGGTCTGCTCGGGCCCTCGCGCAGTGCACCTTCCAGCGCGCTCTGGCTCGGACGGGTGGGACCACGGTCTCCCAGGGGTCTCCTCGGGTCTGCGGGAGCCCTCGACGCCCTGGCCCCGGGCCCCGTCCCTGCTGCCCTCACCACTCCTCTGCCCCCAGCCCGCACCCCTCAGCTGTTTCCCGAAGGCGCTCAGAAGCTGCAGCAGTTGGTACCACAGGTGGGGCTGAACCCCGGCCAGGGCACCCTGCTCCCCAAGTCAGGTGAGCGCCGCCGCCGCCGCCCCGCCCAGGGCTGCAGAAACGGGAGACCCCAAACCCAGACTGGGCAGGTGCGGGGCGGAGGGCCCGGCCCAGAGCCCCCCAGGAGGGTTGGGCGGGCCCCGGAGGGCGCCCGGCGCCGCTCAGCCTGCCTCTCTCTCTCTCTCTCTCTCTCTCTCTCTCTCTCTCGCAGACCAGTGCGCGAGCGACTTCGGCCAGGTGAGTGAGGGGCGCCCCACACCCCCGCCCGGTGCAGGCCCCTCACGCCCGATCTCCGTCCTCCCGGGACCCCGACTTGGGGACAGGGCGTGGCCAGAGACTCAGTCTCTTGGGGTCTCGGGGGCAGCAGGTGGTGGCGGGCAGGGGCCGCGGGAGACCCAAAGGGGGCACCGGGCGGCGGAGGACCTGCGCACTGTACCCCGACCTCGCCCTTTTTTCGCAGTGACAGACCCGGCCTGGAAGCGCAGAGGTCGGCGGGGGGCCCAGCCCAGTCCTGGGTGTCGAACCTGCGACGAGCGCCCCGTCTCTCCCCACATCCCCCTCCCCAGCACAATAAACGGTCCCAGAAAGCTCCAGGCGTGTGCGTTTCTGGGGCATGGGGCCAGGAGCGGGGCGGCGTCCTCCTGGGAGGGACCCAAGGCCTTTCCACCGCCGCGGATCTGGGCGCTGGGCCGGGTGTGCACCTCGTCCCGCAGCCCGACGTGCCTGCAGCGCGGCCAGGCGCACAGGACCCGACCCACGTGCGCGGGGAACAGCCGTCGGTGCGCGCGTGGTCCTTTCCCAGGCGCGGAAAGAGGGTGGGCCCCTCGGTGTCCAGGCGCCCCCGCCCCTGGACACCGCTCCCTGAATGGGGTGGGGTCCCAGCTTCCGAGGGCCTGCGAGCCCCAGGCCCTCCTTGCGTTTTAAAGTGGTGCCCAAAGAGGTTGGGACCCCGCGATCCTGAGGCCTGCAGTGAAAGACTGGCAAACAGTACTAGTGAGCCAACCCGTCACAACCAGAACTGTCCGTCCGGGGCTGGGTGCAGGGACTCAGGGCATCTCCTGTCGTTCTCCCATGAGGAAGGAAATCTCCTTCGAATGGAAACCCACCGCTGCCCTGCCTCCCTGTGCCCTGACTGGGCTTCTGGGCTGGGGGGTCAAGGGACACGGGAAGGGACATATGGCTCCAGCCTGGTACCTGACCGCTGGTCGTGCCCTTGTCCCCGCCTGGCGCCGAGCATGGACTGAATGACAGCCTGGGGGGAGCAGAGTGGAAAGGCAGGGGGTGCCCCCAGAGACTCACGTGTCCTTGGAAAGTTGAGGGGCTTGGCCCTCCCCACCACCCTTGGCCTGGATGCCTTCTTCCATCTTCGAGGAAGCTGGACGCAGAGAATGTGTCATTGGTTCCCATGTGGACCAAGAGAACAAGGGGGTGGTCTGAGGGCCAGCTAGAGCCCTCCACAGCACAGCAAGGACTTACGGTGAATTGGTGTGTGTGGGGGGTGCTGCCTCAGCCCCCCACCCCTCCTGGCTCTGCACTCCCCCGGAGGGGGCCGCAGCTGGGGGGATGCAGGCTGTGCCTCTGTGTTCAGAAGCCTAGCACTTCCCTCACATGGCTTCCGGGTGGTGTGGTGGTTACGTTCGCGTGTCACCTTGGTGGGCCTGGTTGAGTGGCTGGGCAGCTGGTGGTAGTTATTCAGATGATAAGACTGGCAATCATCTCCATAGTGGGATCTACCACAAGCAGCTAAGTAGCTGGGTATGTGGTCTGCTTCCCGTATATAAGCCGCAGCTTTGGGAATGGTCTCTAGCCTACTGCACGCTTGGACCCTGCAAGTAGCCATGGCATTGTTCAGCAGCCTGCCATGCTCTGCCGACCTTGGGACTTACAATAGACTTGAATCAATGGCCCGCCGTGTGGTTTGGTAACATCGGGACTGTGCCTTTTTAATTGTCAACCGGGGGCTTGGCAGCCTCAGCAGCCAGCAGCTGTCTGAGCGAAGAAAAGCTTCTAGCTCCAGTGGGCCAGGAGCTGGAGGCAGAGCTGAAGCCCAAGGCTGAGGGGCTTTCACCCAGCCCCTAGAGCCTGGCACTTTGAACTTGGACTTAAAGCCTCCGGATGTTAAGAATAAACTCCTGTTTGTTAAGGCCATCCCATTTGTGGTGTATTCCTGTCAGAGTGGCCCCAGGGAACCAGAACAGGTGGGGTTGCCCCTGGAGGCCATCTCCCCACGTGTACTTCAGCCCAGACTGACTCCTCGGGCACTGCCCTGCTCCAGCCTCACGGGGCAACCAAGAGCCCCTTCACCCGGAGAGCAGGGATCCATCTACAACCCAAGTCCCAGCCTGCGTCCTCTGCCCTGAAGCCCCAGCAGGACCCACTGTCATCCCCCGACCCTGCCTCCCACTCAGCCTCATGCCCCCTGACTGGCTCACAGCTGCCTCAGGGCCTCACCTCCAGCACCCAGACCCTGACGTGTGTGGTTCTGTGCTGTGGCAGCCCCTGGGCACCGAGACTTTGGGGAAGAAGTGCCCCCACAGTGAGCAGCAGGCTGGGCTCCACTCCAGGCTGCGGGAGTGGCAGAGTGGAAGGAAGGGAGGCACAGCTCCCATGTGGGTTGGAAACATGTGTCCCAAGGGACATGTCATTGCCACCCACGTGCCACTGACCAAAGCAAATCTCTGGCAGAGCCTGAAGTCAGTAGGGTGGGAGATGACAGCCCTCTCCCCACTCCCACTGCCATCCAGTTGATTCCAACCCATGGTGACCTTACAGGACAGAGGTGAACTGCCCCACAGGGTTTCTAAGGCTGTCGTATCTACAGCAGCAGACTGCCACATCTTTCTCCTACGGAGAGGCTGGTGGGTTTGAACCACTTTCTGTTAACAGCCAAGCTCTTCGCCACTAGGGTTCCTTTGACATGTCCTCACCTCCTGTTAAATGAAACTGCTCCCTGAGCAGGGAGGAGCCAAGCTGCCAGACGCTGTGTTTTGTAGTCACCCATGTAAACATCCTTCAAATTTAGATACTACTGTTTTAGGGTCTGGAGCCCGGTTTTGTTTCTGGCTGTATTAATTTCTGTGGCTGTGTAGGAAATTCCAGCAGACAGACAGGAGGCTTAGAACTGGGAACTGGAAGCCTGAAGTCGGTGTCACTGGGGAAAATCACCGTGCAGGGCAGGGCCGTACTCCCCCTGGAGGCCTGGGGGGACCCCTTGTGGCCTCTCCCAGCACTGGGTGGCTGCTGGCGTTGCTTGACCAAGCATCCCCCGACTTCCCGGCCCCGTGGTCGCAGGGCCTGTGGCCACTCTCCCTATGTGCGCCTCTTAGAAGGATACGGATGCCTCCTTCCAGGAAAGCCAAGTCCACAGGTCCCAGCCAGTACGGCCAAGGTACCTGGGGGCCAGCAGGCAGCCGACCGCAGTCTCACACATTTCCCTGGGCCCTGAGCGCTGTGCCCTGAGGGGCTGAAGTGCTGGCGACTACCCCCTCGTTCATTTCAGGCCCGCTCCTGCCCGAGACTGGAGCTTCATGGGCAACAGCAGCCCCAGCTCACGCCCCCAGGCTTGCAAATGCAGCGCAGCGAGCTCCCTGGTGCTTCTAAACCCGGCCCACCCACCGAAGGCATCGCCGCCCCTCTCCTTCCCGGTCCGCTGCCCGGCCTCCATCCGCACACAAGAGGCGCCGGCAGATGCACAACGAAAAGCAACGAGTGAGCGTGCTGCGGGCTGGTCGCTCCGTGTCTGTATTTCCACTTGTTACAATAAGCCTGTAGGGAGCTCTGCTTTGGTTCCAAACATGGAGTAAGACATGGGGGAGCTGTGTGTAACCGGGCGCGGGCGCCAGTCGGGAGACGCGGGGATCCTCAAGGGGGCGAAGTGGGGGCTGCTGGGCTCGCAGGAGGGGCCGGGGCCGACAGCAGGGAGTCTTGGTCCCGGTGGATCCCTCTCCGCCTGGTACAGGCCCCGCCCCGCTCCAGAAACCCCGCCCACCACAACGCCCCGCGTCCCCGCGCCGAAAGCCCCGCCTGCACCCTAAGCCCCGCCCCGCGCAGGCGCCTGACCCCGGAAGCCGTCCTCACTGCGCAGGCGCTGTCAGTTCCGCCAGCCCCGGGGCTGTATCCCGGCTGCCAGGTCCTGTCACTCCCGGGTCCCCCGAGCCCTGGCGTCATGGTGCCGCCACCCCTGTCGCTGTCACCGCCGCTCTGCACGCTGCCGGCGGGCCCTGGACCCTCCCGCTTCGTGTGCTACTGCGAGGAGGAGGGAGCCGGGGACGCGGACCGCGGTGGCTTCAACCTCTAGTGAGTGGCGGGGTCGCGGCAGGTGGGGTTCGGCAGCCCCGCGGCAGGTGCCGCCTGACAGCCCTCCCGCCCTAGTGTGACGGACGCCGCGGAGCTCTGGAGCACTGGCCTCACGCCGGACAGCCTGCCGGCCCTCGTGGGTAACGGGAGCGCCCGGAGGGGCCTGGGCCGCAACACCGCGTAGCTGGAGCCAGGCCACGGGGGGGGGGGGGCGGCAGGGGACCTGATTCCTTTGGAGCACCCGGGCGCCCTCTGGGGCTCTGTAGTTGTAGTCGTGAGCTTGGTCAGGGTCTCAGGAAATCGGGGTTCCCAGCGGCGCTGGGCCCAGGTCCGAGTGCTCCTCCGGGCTCTGGAGTCGGCGGGGAGGGAGGGTCCCAGGCCGCTGGTGACAAGCCCTCCGCCCTGCAGAAAGCCCGCCTTGGCCTGAGTGCAGACCAGGACATCACCCCCCGGTTCAGGTGAGCTGCGGAGCACGGAGGGCAGCGCAGGGGCCGGTGGGTCTCCCCAGCACTCAGCACCCGCCTTTCCCAGGGCAGCCTGTGAGCAGCAGGGTGTGACCCTGAACCTGCATGAGGACATCGCATCCCTGACCCTCTCCGAGGGGCCCTCCACCCTGACCTTTGACCTCACAAAGGTCCCGGGCTCGGAGGCAGCCCCCAGGTTGCAGGCCCTCACACTGGGCCTGGCGGAGCGCGTGTGCCGGCTGGAGCAACGGCTGGCAGGTAGGGTGGGGTGGGCCCTGCACCCTCACTAGGGTCCCCTGCCCATGCCTCATTCCTGGCGCCCACTGGACGCCCCCTCGCTCTCTTCCAGCCGCCCAGGAGATGGTAGCCAGCTCCAGCAAGAGCCCCTGGCGGGCTGGGCCCCACCTTTATTTACCGGGTAAGGTGAACTACCGTAGGTGACCTGGGACTCAGTTTCCCCAGAACAAGGCCACCCTGAGCCTCATGATCCCGCGGGGGGTGTGTCTCTGGCTGTGGAGAGGGGCTTGTCGCTGAGGGTGCAGCTGGGGTCAGGAGCCCCCTCACCTTGTTTCCCCAGAGCCAGATCCTCAGAGGGGCGGCCCTGGATCTGGAGTCAGGAGAAGATGCCCAGGAGAGTCCCTCATCAACCCTGGCTTCAAGAGGTACCTGCTCACCGCCACCCTCTCCCAGGACCCAGGCCCTCCGCCGCCCCCCATAACGTCACACTCTCCTCTTCCTAGTAAGAGACCTGCCGGTGGTGTGGACTTTGACGACACCTGAGGTACAGCCAACACTGTGACGCGACCAGGGATCCTCTGGGAGGGGAGGGGCAGCCCCCTGGAGCCCTCTCCACACTGCTGCCCTCCTGATGCTGGCCCCCCTTCCCCACCAAATAAACGGCCTAGCCCTGGGCAGAGCTGCAGGACCAGGCTTGGCTCCTGGGGGCTGGTCTCGGGGCGGGGCCGCAGGACCTAACTTGTTGGCTTCAGAGCTTCCACCTACAGGCATTCCAGCTCCTAGCGAAATGCTCCAGGTCCAAGGGTCTCCCAGCCCCTGAGCTGCAACTCTCAGAGACCCTGCCCAGACCCCGCCCAGCTCTCCTGGCCTGTGCAGCCCTTGCTTGGCAGGCCTCGAGCTCCCCAAGAGGAAAACACTGTTTCCCCTCCCACCCGGCACATGTCCCTCCCTGCATACTCCACACTGACAGACCCTACCCAGACGGCCACACTCCACTCACACATGCACTCAGTAGGGCCTGGACAGTTACGTTTGGAATGGCCCCTACCTGGAGTCCCACAGGGGCGGTGGCTGCCAACTGGGGCGGGGTTGAGGAATGTGAGGTGGCCTCCACCCACCTGGCCCCAAGCCTTGGGGTGTCCAGGGCTGCGGCCCGGCTTCCCACCCTCTTCGGTCATCCTGTCACCCCACCCTGGACTGACTGGTTTGGGAACCCAATCCAGTCCCAGCAATCCTCAGGTGACTGCGGGAGGCCCTGAGCCCGCTCCCTGAGCCTGCGTGTTTGCCCGGCTGCCTCCCACCCCACCCCACCCCACCCCACCCCTGCCCGTGCCGTTCTGGCCTGGGCTTCTGGAGCTGAGCCTCCCATGGTGGTGTTCGTGAATGGCAGCGGTACCGCGAGAGCTGGGCCCTCCGACGGCAGGACACGAGAGCTCGGGGTCTGGGGACGAGGGGGCGTGGGGTGGCGGGTGGGGAGGCCGGCCCGCAGGGAGGCGCGAGCCGCTAGCGGGGGCGCACGACCGGTCGGTAGGCGGCCAGGATCTCAGCGCTGTGCGGACACGTGTACTTAAACTCCTTCTCCTGCAGCGCGCTGTCCAGGTAGCGGCGGACACCGCGCAGCTCCG